GGGGGCGGGGCTTCAGGAGGAGGACCTGGGGGCGGGGGTGCAGGTGGAACAGCGCCCCCCAGTGGAGAGATTTAGAGGAGGAGCTGACAGTACAAGAGCTGTAGAAGGAGGAGATGGGGTGGAGCTGCTGGAGGGAGCTTAGGCACTTGTGTGCTGCACCCTTAGGGAAGGGTCTGAACAGCAACCTAAGTCCTCAGCGACCTATCCAATCCCCAATGTGTACCCCAGAGGGCACTCCAGAGGGCATGGAAGCTGCAAGAGGAGCAGTAGCACTTGCCTGGGGTCCACGGGGCCATAGACTGAGGCTTGCACTGCAGGGTTGAACCAACCTGGCGGGCTCTGCTTGCTCCTAGCCACTCTGTAAATCTCAGTCGTCATCAGACTGCCATCAGCCCCCTATTGAGAACCCTGCCAAGCCTTCTCCTGGTGCAGTCGGCCGCAGCTCGCTCCAGCATTATCGCCTAACACTCTGTGCTGGGTCACAATGTGCTGCCTGGTCGCGGGTCCCCGACCCAGCCTGCCCTGCCAGGATTCCTTGCTTGCTCTCAGGCCATTCCCACAGCCTGGAAGACCCACCTCCTCTCGACCTGGCAGACCCTGTCTTTCTTCAGGGCCCAAGTTTAAAGTCACATTCACTGCCCCTCCCACCCCCAAAATGTTAGGTACTTTTGTCTCTGAGTTCGGGTGGCACTTTCTGCCTTGCCCCCACTCTCCCTCCATCAGACACTTTTAACCCAGGGTTGTAATCACTGCAAGAGTCGGGCCATCCAGCATCTCCAAGTTCCTTGAGGGTAAGTCCTGTGGGTCACTCATTGCGGTAAACCGGGTGCCCAGGACACAGTAGCTGGTTAGTAAATGTTGGATCAACAGACGACGGCTTGCTCTTCTATTCTTGTGAGATGCACCTACTCTGTCCCTGGAGAAGTTCGAGGACATGAGGTGAGGGGGACAAGGTACCTTCAACATGGGACAAAGGCCTCAGGGTTGTGAGGGACCTGAAATAGCAGCAGCTCCAATTGTCATCCTCGCCAGTGTCCCCTCCTGCAATCCTTTCCCCACCCATGGTTGCCAGCTGATGCCGAACCCCCAGCTCCTCCCTGGAGCAGTGTCAAATCATGAGTGAGCGTCCCCTGACTGGTGGGCTGCTGTCCTTGCTCCTGCGTCCTGTTGGTGGAAGAGCTGGAACCTCCCTAATGAGCCATTTACAATACATGGCTTCTAGTGGGGACAGCCATGACTGTGCCGTCACAGCACTTCCTCTTCTGACTCTGCCAGTTGCTCCTTACTTTCATGGGCGTGCTGAGGAGTAGATGCCACTCACATGTCCCGTGAAGTGTCATTAGAGTGGGGACTACTGCAGAAGTCTGATCTGTGACAAGGAGCAGGGGCTCAGGGCAGCAGCCACAAGGCTAGTTCCCCGCCATGGGGTAGGTGACCCTGGGTAGAACCACTTCGCTGGGTCGCAGGTATGGATGTGGAGTGTGGTCTTTGGCCACCCCTGGGGAATGCATCTCAGTCTTGATTTTCATGACAGGGAACAAGTGAGCTGCAGACTTGGAAACGACCTGACTTCTGACCTCCGTGTCACACTGTCTTCACCTGCAGCTTCCCATCCCCTCATTCCCACAGTCCTGGCAGGGACAGGTCTTCCCTCCCTCCCACACTGGCCGTCTCTTGGCAGGTCAGCCTTCACCCCCTCACAGGAACCCTGCTCCCACCTTTCACTCTGTGACCCTTCCATGGCACTCTGGAGCCCCCAGACAGCGGCCAGAAAACTGCAGACAGCTGGGGCCTTCCCTGTCTCCTTCCTCTGCTCCAGCTCGGCCACTGTGCCTCGCGTTCCCTGCTGGTACAGACTTGCTTTCCCCGGACTCCTGGGGTCATGAGTGAGTCCCCTCCTCAGGCTCTGCTTTCTTCTCCACACCATGATTCCCTCCCCACCCTGCCACATGTCCTCCTTTCAGGAAGTCCTTGTCCTTTCCAAGGATCACTCTTTGCAGCCAACTGTCCCGCCAGGACGTGGCCTCCTTTCCTGAGAGCACAGCCCTTGCCATGTCCCCAGGGAGCATCTGCAGAACTCAGTGTCCACCCCCATGGCCTTCTGAGCCTTCCCGCTGCGTTTCTGGTCCCTTTCCTTGGCACGGGCGCGGGAGGCCAGCCTCCCTGGCCAGGCCTGTCCCCAGGAATGCCACTGCTCCTCTCTTTCCTCAGCATCCCTGCCTCAGCAGTCCCTCTCTAGTGCAGATGCTCTCCTCCCGAGCTGAGTCTTCATGCTCAGGGTGATTTCTACGTGACTCCGTTCCTTCTCTGTGCCTGTCACCCACTTTCTCTTCTGCTGCCTCCCTCCTTCAACTTTGAGAAGGTGGCCACCGTCCTCCCTTTGTTTCTTTGTCTCTGAGGCCCTGGGTGAGGGTGCTCTCCTCCAGGGACGGTTCCCCTTTGCTCGTGCCACGTGTGCGAGGCACCGCCAGTCTGGGAGGACTTTGACCCAAATTCTTGGTTTCCCTTCAAATACTGCTTGGTCGGTTTGTTTTTTTCTTCTAGGAGAGGACTTTGGCCCATTTTTCTATTTTTTTTTTTTTTTTTTTTTTTTTTTTTTTTTTTTGTCTTTTTTCATGTCCAGCAATGGATCGCAACCCCTGGTGCTGCGCCCGCACCTCGCTCAGCCAGTGAGTGGGAACCGGTCTGTATGTGGGATCCGAACCCGCGGCGGGAGCGCCACCGTGCTCCCAAGCAGTGCACCGTAGCAGTGCGCCACTGGGCCGGCCCTGGCCCATTTTTCTATTGGGTAACTTATCCTGACGTATGTTGTTGTAGGAGCTATTTATGAAGTCTGGAAACTAATCCCACCTCGGTTATTAATCTGCCATAATATATTCAAAATAAAATAATTTATGACTGGGTTTATTTAAAGTTTTCATAGGAGCATTTACACTATTACAGTGGTCTTTATTCTTGTTAATTGACAGGTGCATAAATAGTGGCCCAGGATGATCCTTGAGTGAAGACACAAGGAAAAACTATTACTGAGATGAGCACTTGGTGGAGAGGATCCCTGACTTGATTTCTTCTTCTGGAATTACAGTGGCCCTCCTGTACCTGATGTCACAGAGCTTCGTGATGTTCCAGATCTTTGCCTTCAACTTTTCACAATCGTGGAACGCTGAGGGTCACCATCTGTGCATGAAACCACTGCTGTTTGAATTCCCACGATGGGAAGTTTTGTTCTAAATCTGGGAGAAATTCGAAAATGTACCTCATGATTTCATAAAATTTAGGGTACGTGTACACATTGAACACTAAGAGGTGAACGTTGAGGGGCTATTATAATTCAGGCACATTGTTAGAAATGACTGACCCCAACATCATTAAGGCAGAGACATATCTGGGAGTTTAATGTGTAAAGTTAGAGCCGGAGAAGTAAATTGTTACTTACTGTACGCTTTAATAAGTATAATCACGTCCAGTAAGAGCACTGTTAGCGGAAGGGACGCAGCACTGGAAGGGAAACATGAATTATAGACAAAACCAAAGGACAACATTGCCTTTTTCACAGTATTTACATATGTCATCCCTAATTTGTAGGATGACGTAATGGAGAGATATTCCTTAAATGCCTTTAGCATATCGGTCAGTACACTCTGTACTCTCAGCAACCCTGTGTGACCTTGACCACACGGAAGTACCATTACCCCAAATCATTTCCCCTGCAGTGCAGTTGACAGAATACAAAATATCTATGTGCCCCTGTCAGAATCAAGGGTGTGTATATAATATGTATTCTTGGAGAAATGGCCAAGATAATTGCGGCTCCTTTTCTGTACTAGAGTGAATACGCAGTAAATTCTCAACCATGATTTATGATAATGCAACTATCACAGTCAAAAATAAAGATTTGCTTTAGTTCTTTACCTTCCCAGGAACCCAAGGCTTCTGGTGTTTTAGGGGATTGAAATATAATGAGACAGTGAAAGTGAAGTGGTGCATCATTAGCTCT